TGCCTCGTCGCAATTGTCAATCGCTTCGATCATACTCTCTGGACCTGTGAGCTCGCACCCCACCCCAGGCGCACTTCACAGCGACAACCAGCACTTCGCCTTCTTTCAATGACTGGTTCAAGGTCTGCGGATGAAAGCTTGGTTGAGGCACATATGAAGCTCAACTTTGGCAAGGGCATAAACAGGGCATGTGGCATGAAATCGCTAAAACAATCAACCGGACGGACGTACCACATGTCACCACCGTCACTTGTCTTGGTAAAGACGAAACAGCTCCTCTTGTGCGGGACGAGTGCCACCGTCAGGGTTGCAGTTCACCCACCGGAAACAGCCTGCCTTTGCTGTTGTTGCCAAAGCTCGCAGTGGTGGTAAAAGAAGTTGCGACAGCAGCAGCACCAGCAGCAGCAGCAGCAGCAGCAGCAGCCGCGGCAGCAGCAGCAGCAGCAGCAGCAGTGGTAGTCGTGGTAGTAGTCGTCGTCGTCGTCGTCGTCGTCGGCGTCGTCGTCGTCGTCGTAGTAGTAGTAGTAGCAGCAGCAGCAGCAGCAGCAGTGGTAGCAGTAGTAGTACCAGCAGCAGCAGCAGCAGTTAACTATGACGATGTCACAAAGGGATCTGGCTACTAGATATTTACTGCATTGCTTCAACTTTCATCTGACTTTCTTGTACGGTACAGGTTCCTCACGACGCAAGCCGCTAAGGCCACCGCTTCTGCTCACTGGGGAATCGACAGCCATGGCCTGCATTCCCAGCAGACATTTTGCAGTTTAGGGCGCCGTATACTCCAAGACCATTATGAGCTTCTGAGCCTTCAGCAGACTTCTTAGCTTAGGTCGGACATGCACGCGCACTCTCTCCGGCGGAATTTCGCAGCAAACTCAGATCGCGGCTTCAGCCATGGCGGAATCGACCCCCGCAAAACTTCCAACCCGATTCTGAAGTGTTCGCCTTTTGGACTGCTTTTGTAAGGTAAGCATGTGAAGCTTTGAACTGCGATTTTGGCTGATGGTTTGAGAGCTACTGCCCAGTGGCACATAGACAGCATCGCAGCCGACTAAAGACAAGATCACGTGTTGCTGCTTGGCTTGTTTTCTACAAACATGGCCCGCACACATTCCAACTAGCTTTGGAGATGGCAGCAGAAAGACCGGCACCTTCAAGAAATTTATGCCCTAAGCCACAGATCACGGCACGACAGCGGAGCAAATCGACAGCCAATCAATGTGGTTCGGACGTTGAGGTGGGAGAGCATGCAAGGCTTTGCAATGGTGCTGTTTTATCGGCAGAATGCCGTAATGCTGTAGACTGCTAGAGCTCGCGACCTCGGCAAAATGCCTTGTTTGTTGGCTTCAGCTGGTCTGGTGGGGGAGTCTTCGAAGCGAAGCTGGATGATGCAAAGCTTCTAGCACGGCCAGTTCCTGATCATGAAGCCCCGCAGTCTTCCAGGGAGCTCCGGGTCCACAAGCTTCGCCACGAAAGTCGACAAGAACAACTGGAGCAAAGACACACTCGTATAATAGCATCGTCATGACGGTGCTGAGCTCCCAACAGATCGCCAACCGACGTTTCCTCTTTGTTTGCCTTCACTTCTGCAGTTGCGACTCTAGGGTGTCTCGTTGGCTTCTCGGCTCTCCTCACGACACCGGCTGCAGACGCAGAGGAACCCGAACTGATTCTGGATGATGCGACGTCTGACTTGTACAGGGCTTAAGAGAGTCTGTCCATCCACGTATGAAATGCAAACCTCCTCACCGGAGGCTAAGGGCCGCAAGGCATAAAGAGTCGCCTGGGCACTGCCTCCCTGCGTGTGCGTGTGGAAGAAAGCATTCGGACAGCAGCTGTGGTTTGCCAAATGAAGCCAGAAAAACAAGCCCAAGCCGTTCATCCCCCCTTCCTTGCGCACTATGTGTGCATCAAGCCGGACGACAGTAAGCAAGTCAGCCACCACATCCGAAGCCACTGACTGCTGGAAGGTCGGGTCCATTGCTTCATGCATCTCTTGGGCGTGCAGCTTGTACAAATTACTTTTTGCATCCTGAAGCTGCGGTCTGTAGAATGCGTCGAAAAGCTCCAATCGCCGACGCCGTGCTCGCATCTCTGCGCCTTCTTGGTTCGCGGCCTCACTCAAGTTTACGTGCCCTGGGACGTCTTGCAAGAGATAGACAAAGTTCGTAACCATTCCCCATATCGGCTCCCGTTGCGCTCGAGACAGCTCCGGGGGCCTGGTAGAGAACACCTTCTGAATCCTTTCCTGTGGGCAGACTGAATCAACCACAGCCACATCCTTCAGAATGACCTCCCGCTGAAGAATCGGCTTCTTAACATAAAGGCCACGTCCTGCAGCAGATGTGCCCACCGCACAAAGCGGGGGATTCTCACCCGAATAGTCTCCTGTTTCAGCTGCCAATCCCGCGACGCAGGGAACGGCCATGGATGCACCGAGGCATGCCAATGCTTTGCAGGCCACGTGCAGGTCCTGAAAAAGGCCGAGACGGGAGGCCATGAAGGCTCAAATACATGTAGGACACCAGTTGTCAATTCTTTCGAGTACCTCACGGGCCTACATGCTGTGCGAAGCGTACCACGACTGAGAAGCATACAGCGTACGCATGCATACCCATGGAAAGCAAAGATCTTACAACCGTTCTGAAACCAAAACGCACTCTAGGCATCAGGGTCTGTACTTTGAGTTGCGCATCCATGGGTTCCTCAGACTATTCGATGGCCCTTAAAGCCCCCAAAGTTATGCCGGACCCAATGCCGGACCGACCCGGTGCAGACCATCTTTCCACGCGCAGGCTGCAGCGTAAGCGACTTCGCTGACTCACCACGCTGCCCAGTGCTGCAGAAGACCTAATATGCATGTGTATATGATGTGTATACACACACATACATAATTATGTGTATGCGTATATGTGTGTGTATGTATGTATATATATATATATATTCATATATACATATATATATATATGGTAACCCCCCCAGGAACTACCGACCATCGTTTGTATCGTAAATACCGCGTCAAACCAGCTTTTCCGGCAGGTCCGGAGTCCGTATCTCTGAAAGACTGCCAAAACCAAACCCATATTTCAAGCGAATGCGCCGGGCAACTCGCTCAGGTTCGACGTGAGCATGCACTCAACGGCAACACTGTACTCTTCCAATCAAAATTCAATCGCCAAGCAACTCGTTCAGGTTCGACGTGAGCATGCACTTAACGGCAACACTGTACTCTTCCAAGCAAAAATCAACTTAATTTTTTCCTAGGGAAAACCAAAAACAACCAAAAACCAACATCTTTTGGGAAACTATACGACCAAAAAATTGTTCTTTTGGGTGCAAAAAACTCTTGTAGTCACATCCAATAGTAGGGCGGCCATGGGGACTGCAATATCTTACTATCGGGGGCACAATCAGGCTGATGTATGCTACTATACTAACCGTTACTAGCCTTCAGGTCGATACGGGAGTTAACAGGGGAATGTACAATGGGGGTCATCGACATAGCATTTTAGTCCATACGAACTGAGACACCTACAAGGAATCTCCTTGGGTGAGTATGAAATAGAAGACTACTGTCACAATTGGGGCCAATGTAAGGGTGTTAGTCTTGGGGATACTGTCGCTTAGGAATAAGAGTCAACCAAGGCCCACGGTCATTCATACGTATACCGTACTGCTGGGGCTTTGATCTGAGACTACGGTGAAGGCTACCTTGGGAGTTAACACTCGGGCCAGACAGAAATGACTTTCAACGTTGGAGCTATCATCTCTCGGAGTATCTGTATGAAGGGTCACAAGAATTGAGAATGAAGGCTTCTGCCGATATACAGCCGCTGTCTCCTGGGAACTTCAAGATTTAATGTTAAACCTGGATCATACGCCAGAAGCTTAGACGTAGGAGGATTGGTGGCGCAATCGCGGCACCCCCCCCTCGCGGAAGTTCTTGGGGGACTTACAGCTATTATACTATATATATATGTGTGTGTGTGTGTATGTGTGTATATATATATTATGTGTGTGTAGAGGGGCCGTAATCCTTTTCAATGGGCTTTTTAATTTGTTGAGTTTTCTAATGTAGATACGCCATATTATGTTAAGGGACGATCAACCCATCTATCTGCCTCAGCACCCAAATGACAAGGACTGGGCCAACCTGGTCGCAGTGACGAACCGGACCAAACCCTAAAGTCTAAACGTACCAAATTCCTGCAGGGAAAACCCCAGACCCTAGCTGGGTGACGCGGCTTTGAAGCTTAAAGATGAGGGTTGAGGGTGTAGGATTTAAGGCTTAACCTTCAGGGTTCATGGGGCTTAGGGCCCTGTAAAGATTGAAAACAGAGCCTGGTCTCAGGCCACAGCCGATCACGAAACCAAGTCTGCGCCGCCTGTTCTGCCACCTGCACCACGGCTCGGCATGGGGCGTAGGTTTAAACGGTTAGACTGTAGACTTCCATGATGGCCCAACGTCATATTGCTCAGTTAAGGCTACCCACCACCACGCAAGTCTGATGCGCCTGTACACCTTACGCTGTTGTCGTGCCTGCTTGCACGCGCTGGGGATGACCACACTGAAATTGCTGAAGCCTTCGTTAGGGGGGGGGGGGCATCTCGGAGCTTCGTCGCTCAGTGTTGTCGGCCTCTTCGCTCTCTTCAGAAAAACTTGAATTGAACCCCAAAGCAACAGCTTGCACTCCAGGGCCTTCAATCTCAGTCTTAGATGTAATGCGTGGAGGCTGGTCGGCCAGTTCGGGTCCCATTCGGGCGCCCACTGGTGCCTTTCAGGCCTTGGTTTGCTGGATGGCTCACGATCGGAGCAAGATGCGGCCAGTGTTTTTTGCCCCTGCACGACGGAAGAAGCTATCCATGCGCTGTCAGCTCCTGTTCCCGAAATCGCGTGACTCAGAAGATCAGCGGAATCTTCGCATCAACCTGTCAAGCTCGATGGCGAGCGCTTCGCACCTCAGAAGGCAGCGACAGCAAGGCCGTGTCCAAAAGCCTCAGCCTATCTGCCCACACCGTCCCAAACCCTAAACACTAAACCCCAACGCTAGAACCCGAGCTATCCACACCTTGAACCCCCCAAAACTCCCTTTCTGGAATCCCAAACTTCCGGAAGAAAGGGAAAGCCTCGAGCTGTTGTTCTGAAACCACATGTGGCCACCGGGCATCTCGATCACCTCAGAGGTTCCACAAGGGGTCCCATAAGAGTTCCCCTCTACAGGTTCCCGTAACAGGGTTTAGGGTTTAGGGTTCAGGTTTTAGGGTTTAGGGTTCAGGGTTTAGGGCTTAGGGCTTTTAGGGTTATAGGGCTTAGGGTTCTTTTTTTTTTATCGCCCCTTTTTCGTCTGCCCGAAGGTGTCGGAAAGGCCAATGTGGCTGAGGCATGGGAGCCGGGACACTCAACATCACCACCATCACACATCAGCTACACCAGTACTACTGATACACCGCATGAAGGTCCCGGGACTCACAGCAGATGCAGCAGATAAGGGCTCTACACTCAAGCACTAAGTTCATTCCAATTCAACATAACACATTCGAACCCTCCTCCTAACACTTCACTACCCTTGCTGCATAGGTATCGACTCCGTCGAGTAGCCAGAGCCACATCCGTCATGGTGTCACATCAACTCACAACCTAGCTACAGCTAATACGCATGTATAGGTGAATACTCCCATCGGACAGCGGCTCTCTGTACTGCACGCACTCCCGCTCCCAGTCCAGCTAAAGTGAGCCACAACAAGTCACACCTACGATGCAACCCGCGACTAGCCTGGAGACTACGATCCCCACTGGACTGACCGGAGGCGCAGCTGGACTACCTTCCTTGTTATACCGGGCCCGTCACTGGCTAGGAAAACAGAGCTATGGAGTGATAAAACAACATCATCAACATTTAGCCAGTTTTCAGCCCCTGTCGAGCGTTGTAGCTATCAAGGATGCCGCAGCATGTGTATCTCGACTCTTTGCACAGGCCCTCACTCACTTGCCACCGTGCTCATCTCTTGGCGGCCCATCCCCTTTGTCCTCTATCACATCAGTGCTTTCATCACTGGATCCTTCCAGATGCAACCCGAAGGGGACCGTCGACACAGAGTCCGGGTGGACACCACCTCCTCCTTCTCCAAGTCCACTACTGTTATACAGCTGTGTCGCTGCTATCGGCACGGGCTGGGTCTCGAGCTCCTGTGGGTCAATGGCTGCTGCCACCTTGAAGTTGGCGGCGTCCTCTCCCACCCTCTCTACTAGCATCTCCCACGTCAGAAGACCACGCTCCCATTGCTCATAGTACGGTCGGAGGCCGGGGTCAGCTGTATTAAACTGCCTTCTGCTTTTCACTCCTTTCGACCTCTTCAACGAAGTGGGCTTCAGTGCTGGCCTGTATCTGCTGCCGGGTTCGTGTCGGGTCTTGCACTTGTCCGTGGTGGCGGTACTCCTTCTCGACACTCTCCCCCGGGGTCAGGAGCAGCTTCACCGTCTGGCCTTCTTCAAGCTGAACTGTCGTCTTGTGCTCCTCCTGGGCCGTCTGGATCTCCACCGTCAGCCATCTCTTCCTCTTCGACCTGATGCTCCATCCCATGTGAGCCAACACTGTGGCTCTGTCCTCCATCTGGGAGTCCTGAGCAGTTTTCGTTTGGTGCCACCGATATAGCTCCTCGTCCTCCACACGTTGCCTCTCCTCCTCTCTCGCTCTTTCCTCCACTGCTCGGTCTTGGTCTGCATCCATCGCGCACTTTTCGCCCGCGACGCATGCATTAATTAAACAAAAACGTGCACCTAATTAAGTGTGGGCCGTGCTTACGGGCACGGCACTGGGGCTTTGCCCCAGATGTAAAGCAGCCAAGTGTTGAGCACAATGCCGAGCGTCAGCAGGCACCACTGTCGTATTGCCCGTCGCCGCGCACGTGCCACAGCTTCATTCTCCCTCTCACCGCGTTCGAGATCTGTGCACAGGAGAGAGAGCCAATACACCACCACCAATATGACCAGCAGGCCGCTGAGCAGGAAGGCTATGACGGCCGCTGCGCTTGCTATGGTCTCGCTGCTCAGCTGTCGACACTTTAACAACTCGTACCCACCGCTAGTTGCATCCACTGATGCCACCAGCAGGTACAAAAACATGGCAGAAAACAATGCTGAACGCGCAAGTTCAAAAGCATATGCAAGGTCGGCCAAGAATGTGTCCCCCATGCGAGCGCTTATGAAGGTGTTGAAACTGCTAGCAGCGCCCAGTGCTGCCACCAAGATACACAGCAAATTCGAGAATGTGCTGTGGACTTCCCAGCCACTACCAGCTCTGCTGCCGACACAGCGCATGTACAATATGTCAGAACAGTGATTGACATGCGCCATGCACCATCTGCACCGCTCATGCAGGGTAGGGCCAGATGTGGCGTCGTCTTCACCATCGTCGCCATCACCATCTTCGCCTGAATGAGTCGACACATGCACTTTGGCAAGATGCACTGAGCAGCAATCAGCTTGATGCCCAATCACTT